GATTAGCACTGCTCATCTGGGGTAATACGCGTCTGTACGATATTGAGGATAACTCCGATCCAATAAGAACCATCAAAGTAGGATGTGTCCTTCCAACAAAAGGTGCTGACATTAAATCAATGATTCACCAGTCTGCCGTCCTAGCAACGCAATCTTCAAAGATTGTTCTTTGGGGAGAGTCCGCCCTAGACCTTCGGCGCGAGGAAGTAAAAACGTTATTGGAATTGGCAAGTAATGAAACCAAAAAACATAAATACTTCCTAGGATTGACTTATTTTATGCCCTCGGAAACAAGTGACAAAAAAAAAAATATGTTTACTTTAATTGGCCCTGATGGGGAAAAAATATTCGATTATCAAAAAACACATCCAGTTCCGCTAGCAGAGTCACGTACAGTTGAAAGCGGACCAGGAGGTCAGCTACCTATTGCGAATATCGTGATGCCCAAACAAAAAAATCAGACACAACTTTCGTTAAATGTATCGGCGGCAATATGCTTAGACATGGATTTCCCCGAACTCATTACTACTGCTTCAGCAGTAAATTTATTTTTACAACCTGCCCAAACATGGCGATCTCATATTGGTCTGCAACATCTGCGAATGGCCTCTGTTCGTGCCATCGAAAATGGTTTTTGGGTTCTTCGATGCGATGGTGGTGGCGCAAGCGGTTTGATAGATCCTTTGGGTAGGATCCGTAACGTCCAAGTATCTTCAAGAGCCGATCGTTATCAACTACTAAATTGGGATCTACCATTGTCCGATGAAAAAATTCACACAATATACGCTTCGTGGGGCGAATATACGGTTTGGGGGTGTTTGGGGGTGTTATTTTTATTAAAACTATGCAAGCCATTGATTTGGAAAAATGGGCCGATATTCATGAACGAGGAGTGGCAAAAAGGAGTCGAAATGTGGACCAACGCAAAAAGTTGGGTTGGCAGAAAATATGAAGACACGTTTAGGCATGTAGAACATGAAGAATACTTGGATGCCGGTGAGTGGTTTACAAGCGAATTTCTTATATATTTTTTCCTGGTAACTAATTCAGTCTTATACTACAGATATGTACCAAGAAACATAACTTTGTAAAGCATTATATACATATACAAAGTTAAAAAGTCTTATTATATCTGTAAACACCTCCGGTACCCCACTTTCAACACATATTACAACAGAAACTTGAAAGTGGCAGTTGCTTCGTATACTTCATGCATGGATATTATCATGACTGTGAATGTCAAATATATTACATGAATCCTCAGCAAATGTTACCATTCGTAGCTATTTTTTGCGATGTCGATTCAAAAACTACAAGGAAAAAAAGAAATTCCCAAACTACTTACTGTAGGAGTTTTTTCTAAACAATTTGCATCATACTACGAGTTATGCTTGGTACCAATTCATGAGGTTGTATACTTACCAGGATGTAGTCTTTAATATACATTATATAAAAAAATTTTTAATTTATATCTTAACTTTTATTTCAAAAATCAACCTACAAATACTGTGGTAATAAATAGATTTCATCTGTTGGTTATTTTTATTATTTTTATCAATCATTAAGGTGAGTAAAATTACTATTGCCTTGATATACTAAATGATCAATATAATATTAGCTTATATTAAATAATTTTTTAAACGTTCTAGTATGATTGTTTATTTATAAAATATATAATACTGTATTAATCCTATGAGAATGTGCAGAAAATTAAAACATTGAGCACTTAAAGACATCATGCTCTTAATACTCTAAGATATATATTATTTAATTACTGAATCAAATTTGTTGACTGTCTGTAATATAATAAGCAGTATAATTTAATATATGCTAAAACAAATATTAATAATAATAGTACTGCGACAATGAATAAATTGGTTCAATGTAATGTTTTTTAAATGCTCTATCGAACTCGATTAATTCTGCTAAAATTTTTGTCTCATTGTGTATGTCATTGTGTGTAAACGTTTTACAAATTTTTTCGGTAAATACTATAGATGATTCTTTTTATAATATCCATATGATACCGTGATAGATTCTTCGTCAAATGAACAACTTTCCAGAAGAAATTTCCACATAATTATTCCAAATTAACAAATATATGATTTTAAGGATCTGTTCTAATAGTAAATTACCACTCGATTGAATAAGATTTATCACGCAAAGAACTCATAGGTGCAGATTTTGTGACAAGGTTATAATCGCCAGAGGTGTTATTTCCAGATATTCCGTAGCATTTTAAAAATATAGGTCTTTCATTATAACAATATCGCAAGTTTCTTTTAGCTTCAATGCAAGAAAAAGATAAAAAAATTTTAAATTAGTAACTTGTTAAAATAATTTAGATAAAACTTATCTCTTGATCCATGAATTAATTTTAAGTAAGGCTTCTCTATTATATCAATAAACAAAAAACAGATACAATTTCTTCTTATCTTATTTTCTTAACATTTTTTTAAATTTCTTGTAAGAAGTTTCATATAATAAATATCTGCTTTTATAAGTTCATTATCAATATCAGAGTTTTCAATTATTTATTTATTTAAAATCAAAAATACATAATTACAGTAATTAGATTTCAAATAACAAGATAAATGATATGATAATAATTTTTTTTAATTTTTTTAAGATGAATACATATCAATACATATCTTTATTAATATATATATCTAAATAGACATCAAATATCTTTTACATATGAAGTCATATATAATTAATTAATTATTTTTATATCTTCTACATATATAGAATTAATATTGACTATTAATTATTCTAGTAATAACCTATATATTATCTTATTTATTCAATTATATCAACTTATATTTTATGGATAAGTTCATATATTAGATAGAATTAATCTAAAAAATAAAAATTCTACTACTAGTTTAACTATATAAACTTATTAATTCAGAAGAGTAGAAAGCTTGTATACTTTTTAAAAATAATTAAAATATTTAAATATTCTATTTAATATTTTTTATTTAAGAAAATATTATATTTTTTTTTTTTTTTTTAACTCAACTAGCTAGACCTTGCCTAACGTGCTTTATTTAGTTTACATGTGTATTTCTTTTACAAGAGTTACTATCTATAAACTATTCTAGATG